AACACGTAGAAATATTTTCGAAAACACAAGCACTCGCAAAATACACACCAAACCCTTGTAAATAGCACAGTGTTCCGTTCTGAAAGGAAAATAAGAAGTAGCAGTAGAGGTACATCTTGGATTGTGTATCTTAAAAAATGTTTGCCAGTTTTTTGATAGGAATGATGGTTAATTCACATAGTCATCACATGTTGTTGTTGTGGACTTTTCAGTAGACACAAAATCAAGCTTGAAGCCTACAACAACTCTTGACTAGCGTGGTTTTCAATTGAGTATCGTAAAACCAAACCAGCTACTTACCAATTGGACTACTCAACCAATATCAAATCTTAGTAAAAACAAAATCAAAACCAAAGTAGTTGTCTGATTACTTTTGACACTCAATTGAGGACCGCTCTAAATGTCAAGAGCAATTGGATGTTTTCAAGTAATATATCAAACATGAAAGACCGTGTTTGACCATATTTCCAAACACCGAGAAGAGAGTTGACAATACGACGCGCAGCGGAGTATTTTTGACGAACTTCAAGGTGTTTGGAAATGTGGTTAAGCACTGTCTTGAGTGTTTGATATATCTTCTCAATCGAAACTAAAACTAAGGAGAAAACGGAGACACAAAATCGTAAAAATCTATGCTAATTCAGATATCCAAACACCGTCACAGTCATGATTTCCTTCGTTTAAACTTGATGAATTGTTAATGATCGAGTGTGAGAACCTACCTTCCATCATTACAAAATTCTAGTTCATTAGCAATGAAAACCCTCCAAAGGCTTCATGTTTAGTTTGTGTGATGAAACTACGGTAATACCTTATAAAAAATGCCATGTCAAGATAATGTCACTCACCTGTTTAGAAGAAAGATGATACTTTTCATATTAATTTTCAGTAAGTATCTGAAGCTGAGTGTACAAAGCAAACATAAATTACATGTCAAATTTCTTGTTTGAATAGCAAACCATTGTATCTAACTGCCATGCTAATACCTGGGTACAAATTTGTATATAACAGTGTGTGCAAAAGTTGGTTATAAGTAACTCGCAAGAAATTTGTTGAAGCAAGTTCTTGATCGGCTTCTGGTCACATCTGACATGCATTCTGCATTTAAAAGTCAACACATTCCATTTCACAAAAGGTTTAACATTAGAGCCTAGAGATTTTAGTTTGCTGTGTATCAAACAAGTCAATAAAAATACTGTCATATAATAATATTGTCTTACGAGCAAAAGGGGAAACCTAGAGCCAGAAACACAAACAAGAAATCACAAGAAATTATACCTAAAAACTGCAGGAAAATTCATGTCTTCCATCTCCTCCACAAGAAGCAAATAAACAAAACAGCTGAGACCTAACACTGGATACAACGTATTCCCTTGAAGAAAGGACAAAAGGAGGAAGAACAATATTTAATAGAAGGAAATGAAAAGGTGTTTGCATGAGAAAAAAAAAACAAGAAAAAAAGAAAAAGAAGAAAAAGTAAAACAAACAAACAACAAAAAAACCAGCTATACACGTCTGCTGGTGAGGAATTAAATGTTTTATTTAATTAACTAAAGACTCATTTAACCTCCCTCTAAACACCATTGTAAAATAATTTCAAGTACATGTAAGGATTGAGGTTGACTGTGGAAATGAATAATCTTGTCCTCTCAGGTAGAACATGTAGAAATAGGACCATGCTATCCCAAGAAGGGTCAATGAATGATGTAAGGAAATGCTGAACACTTCAACCAATAGGTGTAAACCCCCAAACAAGAATTCTTTGATTTGACTTTGTTACTAATATAAATTGTGTGACAACCAATTAAAAAGTTGATCAAAACTTGGGGAAAAATTGGTCTTTCCCGTAAAGTATAGAAGTCAAATCTTCACATTAAAACAAAAACATT